ATTGCCTAAACGGTTATACCCATACCCATAACCGTTTATAAACGGTTAACCATACCCATAACCGTGTACCCATTTAACCATAACCGTTTAGTATTCGTTTACCCATTTATCATTTTTTAACCTGTTTATCCTTTCTTTTTCACCATTTACTCATTTTTCACCTGTCTACATGTTTTTTTAACAACTTGAAAATTAAAAAAGAAAATTTGTCATAATTTTCTTTTTCTAACAATTAAATACCGTTATAGGTACATTCATCATACATTTCCGCGTTTTAATTTTTTAAGTCATTATACCATTCCAATAATTGAAGTAATAGTTTACTGACGATATTTTTAACTGTTAACAATGTAGGTAATATAAAATTTGCTAAGTATTCTTGGGTTACAAAAACTGTTAAAAGATAGTATTCTTGGGTTATTTAACTCGGAATGTAAGGTATTAACATAATATATATAATGGACCATGAAATTTAAAGTGGTTAAGGAAAACTATATTAAATTAGCTACAGAAATCATGCATTATAGTCAATAGCATTGATCTAAGTTTTGTCCGATAGGGAACATGGTTTGTATTAATTTTACATAAATAAAATAATGGGCAAACGGTTACCCGTTTATAACCGTGGTTACTACCCATAACAGCCCATTTAAATTTTGCGGGTAAACGGTTATACCCATAACTGTTTATTTATCTAAACAGTTACCCATAACCGTAACCGTAAAATTTAAATGGGCGGATAACCATGGTTACCCATAACCGATGGGTATATGCCCATCCCTAGCTGCAATCATTGCCCCGATGAATGGCCTCATTTAATAGACGAGAGAAAAACTGGGTGGCACATAGAATGGCACGTTAGAGTTTGAGTTTAGATAATACTGTATTATGGTTGGAGGAACCCTAATCTAATCCTAAACATTTTTTTTAAGAATAGTAATTCTTATTATTTTTTCGGTATGGGATGCTCTTTTATCCTACGATTGGGTTGAAATGTCCGACAAAGTTTTTATCGAGACTCATTCTATGTACTCTATCTTCAATGATGTATGTATCGTCTTCGTTTGCAATAAATATCGTACCTTTTCTAAAGGAAAAAAAAAAAGAATCACATAGTAATATTTTGGGTACACCAAAAAAAGCTTTTTTAAATTGTAAACGTGACCTCATTAAACCTTGTTGGAGCTCCAACTCGATCAAAAGAAAAAGACTACCATGAATTCTAGGTGTATCCACAAATATTTGTAGACGTACAAACCATAATTAGCATATATTCACGTTGTGGATTACATAAATTTGGAACTGGAACAAACACATTTGTATAGCCTCTACGTTAGGACAATGATTCAACCATTACACCTTGACCCATTTATCTAGATAATTTTTTTATTGTATCCGCAACACGGGTATTGATCAAGTGTTAGTTTTTATGTTTTAAGCTGTCAATTTTTAATACAAGTTTGTCACTATTTATCAGTGTTCTAAAAATTGGTCTAGGTGGTGAAGGCCCTCTGTGATTTAGGGCAAATCGGTCTAGAGCTAGGCGGCCGCCTATGCAGTTTTTTTATTATTTTTTTATTAATTGTGTGTGTTTTTTTTTTTGGTTTCATGGTGGTATACTTATGAAAATTGTGTACCTAATTTGCAAGGAAATTGTTATTAGCACTCCAAAAATCTCATTTTACACTCAAAACTTTCAATATTAGGAAAGAAAAATACACTTGTGAGGAGTTTAGAATAAGATTTTTGGAGTGTCAATAACACTTCTCATTTGCAAATGATGGATTTACTACAAGTTCATCCAATAGTGAAATGAATTGGAGCACTTTTGAGGGGATACATACAAAGAAAAGAAATAAACTAGTTGCAACAAGGTTAAATAATTTAGTCTAGGTCCAATCCAATGCAAGGATCATGAATAAGAAGAATTTAGTCTATCATCCAAGAATCCTCCTCATAATGATTATATGTTTACTGTTTTTTAGATATTGAACTTTTTGGATATACTTTGTGTATTCTTCTACTTCTATTTTTGTATTTTATCATTTTTTTAGTATCCATACAAGTATAGTTTTTTTTTAATTGTAAATAGACACTTATTTACAAGATATATAATAAATTTATATAAATACGCCTAGGCACCTAGGCATTAGACCTCTGCCTGCTGTCCGACTAACACTTAGCATTTTTTAGAACTTTACTATTTATATAGTGACATTGCTACATGGTGTACCACTCTATGTACTATGCAGACTAAAAATGCCCAATGTCCTAACGCAATGTAGGTACCACCGATTCCACGTAGCGTGTTTTGCATGGCCAAAGAATATTAACGTGGCCATTTCATATCCAAATTGATTTCTATAACCTTGAAAGCAATACTACATATAATTTGATCATAACACTAAATTCCTAAGTAATTGACTAAACAAGATATTATTATACCGAAATTATATATTTTTTTCAAATTATACTTTAGATGTGTCCCTAACTAGCATACATTGATTAAAACCCTATTAGTTTTTAGATTTTGATCAAAGTTCTTTGACTTTGTACACATCAACATGCATTAATCAATTTCCATATCATATTTTAAAGGGAATTACTATTGGCACTCCAAAAATCTCAATTAGCACTCCAAACTTTGTATAATTAGAAAGAAAAAACACATGTGAGTGTAGAATGAGATTTTTGAAGTACTAATAACAATTCCCATTTTAAATTAAACATTATATTGACTATTGTAATATAGACATCCTATAAAGCATTTTTTTGTCCAAACATTTAAAGCAATTAAATGAAATAAGTTACCACATTTATGGGATACAAAATCCTATAAGATTTGAAATTTAACGTTTATGGGATTAAACAACAAACTCCACCCTTAGAAAACCTTAAACCAATTAAAAATTGGTGATTTAAATGTGGAAATTAAGTTATGAAAAAAATTGTTTTTCTATTGAATGTCATGATAGAAGATAAATTTTCCCATAAGAATTAATGCACCCATGTACAATTATAGTACGTGTAAGAATGTACCCATATAAATTCTTAATGTAAAAAATGATTAAAGGATAGAAAAATGGAAGCAAACCATAAGACCAAATTACTTAAGGGTACATACTATATAAATCTTATAAGAAACAATTATACATATATGGGTACAAAAGAATTTAAAATAAAAAGTTACAATGGTAGTATAGAATAAAATTCGGGTACATGGATACAAGAGAAGAGAATGTACCCAATGAAATTAAAATTGCGTCCATAGCAATATAATGGTCATTTGTTATGATTTTGCAATATGATGGTCATGGAGAAAAAATAAGTTTGAAATTTTTTTGGTGAAATTTAATTTTGAAGATACATATTCAATATAGTAATGTTGAATTTGAATATAAACATAAATTTGAGTGAGAGAATTTTGGGATTTTCAGTTACAAACTTGATAATGTGGGAGAAATTATAAATTAAAATTTGTTGTAAAAAAAATAAAAAGATGACAAGGAAGTATTTAATAGTAAAATGATGAGGTGTACAAAATCAAAAGACTTTGATAAAAAACTAAAAACTAATAAAGTTTCAGTCTATGAATATTAGTGATTAGGGACTGGATCCTAATTTTTTCTTTTTTCAACTCCATAGTTCCATCGTTCTGGCAATTTGGTCAGATAGAAAACGTGTTTTATCTTAATTTAAGTAGCACCAAATTTTTTAATTAATTTAGGATTAAGATAAACCTTTGTTTTTTATGTGATTTATATCCATACCAACCACACGTTTCCATAGCTTCATACAACATGAAAGATGTTGTTATCCAAGTTGACCATAAAATTCCAAAGATGACTTTCTTGTCTCCCTACCCATTTAGTAACTACAAAGCAAACTTTGCATTCTATTTGGTTTTCATTTTCATTTTAGCAAAATGATACCTACATATATATATTTTTTTCCTATCAACCGTTCTCTGATTTTAGTCATCAAATTTAACAAATCAAACGAAAATTACAAGATTTTTTTTTTTAAAGAAACAACAGTAGTTTTTTTAAAGAAACAACAGTAGTCCTACTCATCTAAGAGAGCATCACAGATGAAATTCAGGAACATCTCAAACCACTGTTCAATCGAATCAAAATAACAGAAAAAATTAAACAAAGATATTATAATTCAATTAAATTTGATAAAACTCATCAATAAATCTATTCTATAATATATGTATGTATGTATATATATATATATAATAATTTACTGATATAGGAATTTTTTTTAACAAACGATAGTATCTACACTAGAAAATGAGAGAGTGGGTTAAACTTTAAAATGAGTTTGCCATAATAATATGGTTCAACTTCGCTTTTGATCAAAATCAAACTTAAATATTTCACTTACAAATAAACAAGAATACCTTTAGATCATAATATTAAGTGGTGAGATATAAAGTAATTTAAAGTAATTTCGTATCCAAATTGATACATGAACCCTTATCTATTCAAGGATATTGTAACAACATATCAAAATCCAATCCTCATTTTCCTCACCAACATGTAAATATAAAAGAACCCATCACCAACCAAGATCCAGTAAAGACACCCAAAAAAGTAGAACATTATCCTCCATAGGGACAAAACCGTAATTCAATGTCAAATATCCACCCAATTATAACTAAGGAATTTTCAATGTGACCGTCACACGATGTGGTACACCATGTGTTCTTATATAAATTGTGGATTATGTGTGTTAAAATGTTAATAACTTAAAAATTAAAATTTTTTCACCACTTACATAAAAACACGTGATGTACCATTTTCGTCACAACTAAATTTTTTTTCTTCTAATCCCCTGCGTTTTTCTCACAATTCCCAAATTACCCCTACAGTTTTCCCAAATAAAATCCCCCTCTCGTCTCCTGTCTTTGTAACACACACTTAAACCCAATCTCTTCTTCCTCTCCGTCTGTCTCTCCTTCGCCCGCTGATCTTTGACCCGGCCGAGTCAGGAAAAATGACTCGGCGGTGCTCGCACTGCAGCAACAACGGGCATAACTCGCGCACGTGCCCGACGCGTGTCGGGTCCTCCTCCTCCTCCCCCTCCTTAGGAGGCGGCGTGAAGCTGTTCGGCGTGAGGCTCACCGATGGCTCGATCATTAAGAAGAGCGCCAGCATGGGAAATTTATCCAGTGCGGCGGCGCACTACCATTCCTCGTCGCCGAACCCGGACTCCCCGAGCTCCGACCAGCTCCATGACCCGGTTCACGTTCCCGACGGTTACTTATCCGACGACCCCGCCCACGCTTCTTCCTCCGTCAATCGCCGCGGCGATCGTAAAAAAGGTATTTTTCCGTTTTCCGAACTCATTTCAATTGCTCGAAGCAAAAGTCGTTATCTTTTTATGATTTTGTTGAATTTGATTGTTACTTTCACATGCATGAAGTTGATTCTATTGTTTGTTTTTTTTTTGGAATTGAGCCAAAATTTTGATTGAAAATATGAAATATTGATTGAAAATTTGAAATAATCTGACAGAATTACATTATTTTATACGTATTGGTTTTGTATTTATTATGTATAGATTTGCTTTAAATTGAATGCACAAGTATATGTGCTTTTCTCGAGGAAGATGAGCTGTTCGTTTGCATGGTTTCGTCTTTCATGTTGGCTTGGTGTTTGTTGTTCTGGGGTTTTTTATCTTTTTGCTTTTCATTGGTCTGGATTCTTTTCAAATAATGGGGTTAATTCAAGTCGTAATCTTGCTGGAACTCATCGGTTTCGCGGTTTCATTTGAGGTCATTGACATGGTTGGTGCGCTATGTTTGTGTGCATGTAATGCTTGGAGTTTGTGTTTGTATTGCTTTCAAGCCTGGAGTTTAGTGGTCTTTCAACAGGAGCACATGCTTGCGCTTTTAACATGCCCCGACAAGCTAATAGATGCATTTGAATCTAGGGTTTTAGACGATTCATAAAATCGGCCAAAGGCTGTATTATAGTGCCTCGAATAATGTTCTGAAAACATAACTAAGTGTTAACACTCTAGTGGAAACTAGTCGTAAATCCTAATCCAAAATACAATAGGAAACTAAATCTAATCCTAATCAAACTGGAAAGAATCTTAATCCTCATAACCAACAACTTCCAAACATTTATGAAACTAAATATGTTATCTTCCAGAAAAGGGTACTCTTAGGACTAAAAAGTCATGTCTCATACAAAAACAAGAACACAAAATTGTTTGTGATTTGTGAGTGAAATCTGAATAAGTAGGGCCACTTTCCTGATACAGATGATTGGTATAAGCTCTATGTATTGCTCTCGGAGCTGCCTTGTTTGAAGCTAAATTAGGCAGTGGAGAGTATGCTAAAACTCTTTTAAGGGTAGCATTTTATAGGGGGCTCAAGCTTATCCAGTAAGCATTTTACCTCTATTGTGATTTATCCAAGTACAGGGTGTCATTCTGATCATATTCTGCATGATGCTTGGAAATGAAATCGCTTTATGCTTAGAATTCTCTTATTCCAAATTTTCATGAAATGTATGTATTGCACTGAATCTATTGGCAAATGCTCTCCGTCAGGATTACTCAGCCAAAATGGGGGCAACTTTTTGCCTACGCTCTGCAATTTGATGTGATTTCTGTTGAAAATTTCTTTGATTGTCATGCATTTGATAATTGCACATAGGCAAGTGAATGGGTCAGATCAGATGGGCCAGCCCTTTTTAGCACTAAATTTGTTTTGACCCTATTTCTGCAATCCGAATAAGGATTATTCTTCCTGTGGTACAGAGGTGCCCAATTCATTGAGTCGGTCATCCTCTCTTCAATGAACTATTTCTGTTATCATATCAGAACTTGAATTGTTGCTTGCATAAAATCATTGTAAAATGTATTATAATTGTCTTCATGTGCACCATGTTTTGCAACCCAATCTTACTTATTGATCAATTCTTAGTGTTTATAATCAATCTTTATTGGCTTTGGTCCTCAGGAACGCCATGGACAGAAGAGGAGCATCGAATGTTCTTGATTGGTCTCCAGAAATTGGGGAAGGGAGACTGGCGTGGGATAGCACGGAGTTATGTGACGACTAGGACTCCCACCCAGGTGGCAAGCCATGCCCAGAAGTATTTTATCCGACAGAGTAATGCTACACGAAGAAAGAGGCGGTCCAGCCTATTCGACATGGTTCCTGATATGGTTTGTCTTACTCCATAATTTATTTCTTTTTTCAAATGTTATACTCACAAATGTGACCATGCTATCAGACACAGAATCTGGTTTTCTGTATTAGGCATCGAATGGTAAGTGGTAAAAATGCCCTTTCTTTCATTAAAAAGATGAATGTATTGCGTAAAGATGATCGATGGCATGGGATTTAGCTATTGTATAAGTTTAGAGCTATTCTTCCTATCACTACGTAATTTTGTCAAATAAATTGGTGTTAGATTCTGCGATAAGGTTAAGATAATGATACTAAAACTTTCGTTTGCATTGTTTGTTATCTGTTTTCCAGGCACCTCCCTTGCCAGAAGAACAAATTTTTCTTCCTTCTTCTTGGGAAGGAGATTCTGAAGATGCAAACTCACTACCTTCATTAAATCTTTCCCTCAGCTCAGAGAGCAAACCCATGGAAACCACACATGAAGAAACTGTAATAGAACATGATCACGAGCCTGCAATGGGATCAAATGGTTTCCCGCCAATGGCTCCACCTTACGTCCCAGCTTATATGTCCTACCCCTGGCCATATTGGGCACCAAGTGCAGGGCCCTTTAGAGAAATGGTTGGTGAGCCCTCTCGCCAACCAGTCTTAAGGCCAATTCCTATCGTTCCTAAGGAGCCTGTCAATGTGGATGCGCTGGGCATGTCTCAGCTCAGTCTAGGAGAGACGGAGAGAGGATTGAAGGAGCCATCGCCTCTCTCCTTAAAACTACTTGGAGAGCCGTCAAGGCAGTCGGCATTCCACCCGAATGCTCCAGCTAGTGAGCCGGACTTGAGCAAAGGCAAGAGCAGTGCGATCCAAGCAGTCTGAATTGGCGAAATGGAGCAGCGTCTCGGTCTTCTTTTTGGGCTGTTTTGTACAATTATAATGTTATATTAGACATTCTCTTTTATTTTGTTTTTTGCAATGGTCTGAAGTCTTATAAATAACATAGGCTAGATAGCTATTCTTTCTAATTGTAAACAGCTAGAAATTTCAAATTTAATGAATTTGGTAACTTAGTGATGCCTTTTGTTTATGAAATCTGAATTTCTTGCACTCTTAGCATACAAGCTGATATGGCAACGGAATTAGAGAAAGCGTTCATTTGATAACCATTTAGTTTTTAGTTTTTATTTTGACTTTTCTAAAACAATTTTTTTTTTCTTTTCTTTCTCTCTTGTCTTGTTCTTTAGTTCTGCTTGCAAAACTTAAGGGACCTCCTGGATGCTAGACTCTTGCGTTCCTATATGGCCTGTGCCTCGGAATTTCGGACCAGCCTTGAGACCTACCAACGTAGAATTCACCAAATATTTACCTCGACTTTGAAATTTCATAGAAAAACACTATATACTCTGTCATATTTTCTTTCATTTGACGATCTCAAATTCACAATTTTGGAGTTAACCATAAAACAAAAACTGAAAATAGTTACCAATCATATATTTTACGTTGTTCGGCTATAAATCATGTTCATCGATAAGATCAAATAATATTAAAATACACATCAAATCGCATTAAGTATTGTGACAGCCCACATACAAACCATAAGATATTGACTCATTAACAATCTAGTAAAAGGGAAAATAGAAAATTTTAGCATAGAAACTAGTCTACACCCCCAAAGGAGAAAATTATAGTAAAGGGAAAATAATTCTACAACAATCACAAAGTCTAGAAAATGAAACAAACATCAATTACTGCCCAAAAATACGAGGAGTTCATGCCCAGACCTCCTCAACATTCCTATACCAGAAAGCATGAACACCTCCCCACATTAGAACATCCCACCATTTGAATAACCATAAGAAATTATGAGTCTGTTTGGTACTCTATTTGAATCTAACTTTTCAAACTCAAAAACATTTTTCAAGTTTTAGATATTAAAAACTTGTTTAGTAGGACTATTTTAAAAAACTGAATTTAAGACTAACTTAAAAAAATAGCATATTCTCTAAAAAAATCAAAAATGAGTTTTTAGAGTTTTCAAACTTAACTCTTTATTTTCTCAATCTCCTCCCCTGTCTCTTTTTTCTGCTTTCTCTCTCCTCTCTCTATCTCATTCTCTCTCTCCTCTATTTTTCTCTTCATTCTGTCTCTTCTTTCTTATTTCTCTCTCATTCTCTCTATCTCCTTCGATCCTCTTTCTTCTCTCCCCTCCGATCTGCTCCTTCTTTCTCTCTCCTCCGATCCTCTCTTTCTTTTTTTTTCCTCCTCTTTCCTCTTTCTCCCTCTCCTACGGCTCCCTCTCTTTGGATTTCTTTGTCCAGTTTAAGTTTTAAGATTTAAGAACAATTTTAAATCTCATACTAAGCAAGTTTTTGAATCTTAAAGAAAATTGTTTAGATGAGATGTTCTTAAGAAATGTTTTGAGAAATGATGAATTTTTTTTTAATAGGATACCAAACAGGTCCTAAGTAATTTACATTATTTATATGATATTATACATGGTTAGACTATAAATCTAAACCCTTTATCATATCATATCTTTGAAGCAAAATAACGAGAGATCATAATCAGGATATCCATCATAACCTTTTGCATGCATGTATAACTTTAATGTCTTTTGTAAGGTTGAAAAAAAAAATGTGAACTAGTTACATGTATTACCATATTTCGCATTTTGAAAAGAAAGGCACTTTCTCTGTCCAAAGTGCGTATCATGTTTCCAGAAACTGGATCCAACCATGCACCAACAGAGCGTCCTCTTCTTCTTCTTCTGCTAATCTATATGCTGAGCTTTGGTAAAAAATTTGGAAAGCTCCCAAAGTCCGTATGACTTCATGGCGTTTATGCAATAATATCGTCCCCACAAAGAACAATCTAGTGAAGAACCACATGACGATAGATCTATCGTGCGTAATATGCTAGTCTCATGAGTCTGTATCCCACCTCTTAATTAAGGGACTGTCACTATGCTCGATGTGGGTGCATGTCTTATGAAGGTTCCACACCATTGTTAGATGATTAGTTAAATGTTTGTACAAGTCAGCAATACAGTTAGTAAGTCTATTAGTATTTGGTTAGAGTTGTTAGGATTCCTGTTATAAAAATATAGTTGTGTAATCATTATGTATTGAATACAAGTCTCATAATTCTCTCTCTAAACTCTCTCTAGCTCATCTTTCTCTCTGTTACTCTGTATTCATTTTCTCTTCAATTCTCAAATATTTCAATGTCATGGTATCAGAGCCAGGTTGGGCCACGTCATTCCGTTCGTGTTGTCCACGTGTTAGGCTTCGCCAATGTGAGGGGGCGTGTGAGAATGTGAGGTAAAAAGAGTCCCACATTGGTGAAAGGGGAAACCTTGTAAGAGCTTATAAGAAGTTGGATTACTCCTCATATAGCCAACTGGTTTTATGAACCTCAACTTTCTTCATGGTATCATAGCCACTAGACTCACGCTATGGGTTCTGGTGGTTCCATTTTTCATCTTTTTCTAGTTTAGTTTTTTATTCAAATTTTCATTAAATATTTCGATAAGTCCTTCATTGTTTCAAATTTTCATTAGTTTTCATCTTTTTTCTAGTTTAGTTATATATATTGTTTGGAGTTTCGTATCATAGGACTTTGAAATATCCTGCGGTGATCTTGCTATCTTTCCCACTAATGTATAGTTTTACAATTTTTTAAGACGAGGAACCCCATAGGTCAATTGTAAGGTATTGTTGGCGAAAGTTGACCTGAGCCTTCCAAAACCTTTGTAAACGTGCTGTCAAAACCTATGGTTTATATATTGCTTGTGCAATTTCAACTTATTTGATCACTTTATGAAGAAACTTTGCCACTGTATATTCTTACAGCTCGACAGAACGATGAAGTAGATAGAATTGTAAGTCTAATGAGAGTTGCACATTTATTTAGCACGTGCATGAGGGATTGAGATTATAAGAGTTTGTGTATGACAATACTTGTTGGTTATTAAGGAATGTATAAAGACTGAAATATAACCTAAAGAAGTCCCGGTGCAATTGGTGTTAACCTTTCTGATATGGATGCTTTGGATATTAGTGATAAGGGTTATCAAATTGATGACCTTGATAAGGATTACACGATGGGAAGTATCCTTATCAAAGATCACTGTTTACATTATAAATAAAGGGTCCCTACTCTCGCACAATACATGCAAACAGAAACATCAAGCCCCATGTTAGTGCATACAAATAGTGTTGAGAGGAGAAGAACCTTTATTTTCTGCTACTATGACTTCACAAGGTTAGTTGTTAATTGGATATGTTGAGTTCTCTTGTTTCCGCTATATTTAAACTAACATTTGGTATCAGAGCTATCGCATATCTCTTTAACCCTATGTTGAAAGCATGAAGAACAAATCTTGTGCAAGTTACAGATTGACAATGGATTAATAAGAATGGTTTGATGTGTATTAGCTACAGCTTTTCACACATTAAAACTATGCCCTAATCCTTTCGTCTTTGCATTTAATGTTAATAATTGAATGATGATTATCTAAAGAAAATTTGTGATAACCCATCTCTAATTTTATGTTTTATAAATTTTAAAAGCATGAATTGATGAAAATGCCCTTGAGGCAAGAATATTGATTTTAGTTGACTATCATTTCGTGAAGCGTATGAGCTATTATTTTATCATATTCTTGAAGTATCCGACGATATGAACGCGTATACGCAATCGGAAGCAAATTTGGAGTTACGGTTAAAATGTTACAAGCTTACGAACATGAAGGGTAGTTGGGTATTTTTCCGTTAGGTGATATTTTGTGAGACATGTGGGGCCACATCCCACTTTTTGCTCTGTCCCGTATCCCTACCTTCCAGAGATCTCGATCTCTCTCTCATTATTTTCTTTCTTATTTGAGACTCTCTTTCTCGAAGACTCCATTCTTCCCTTCTCTCTCGTATCTCACTCTTCCTTACTCCCTTGTTCCTCTGTTTTATAGAGGCCAGCAAACTCAGCTGCTCCGGTGAGACCTTGTCATAGTGCCATCACTCACTATGCTGATGAGATGACACCCTTACCGTGTCCGCTTCTCTGCCATTTGCTTCACCTCCCTCATCTCTTCTCGGCCCTCTATGCAAACACAAAGAAACCACCCTACCTTCATCCTTGCCGTGTTTGTAGAATTTTTCAAGTCGACAGGCTGAAGGCCTATTCCAACAACACATATACTGTCCCCACTTAACCACCTGCACAATCCTCAGGAGTGGGGTTTTATCACAAAAGGTCTCGGTGTTAGTTAGAGTTGGGTAATCCTATTTAAATGGCTTTTCTCCTTCCCTCTTGGCCGATGTGGGATAAATGTTTCCAACACTCCCTCGCACGTGAGACCCCATTCTATGGGTCACTCGTGGAGATCCACATATCGGCAACCACGTGGAGCCATGTCGAGGCTCACCCATTGCTCAGGGCCAAACGGGGGTCCACCCAATCATGTGGCAATATGGGCCCGTTCCTTGGCTTTGATTCCATGTAGAATTATCAGAGAGACGGGCCATACAGTCCACTTCCAACAACACTGATATTGTCCCCAACTTGGTAAATACCACCTGCATAATCCGTCAGGTGTGGGGTTTTATCACAAAAGGTCTCAGTATTAGTTAGAGTGGGTTATGATATTTAAACTCTTATTTTCTCATTGATACGGTCGATGTGAGATATTTTAACATGCCTCTTCACGTGGGACCCAATTAGTGGGTCACACGTGGGGATCCACAGATCGACAACCACAACCACGTGGATGATTCTATTTAAACACTCACATCTCAATTTCTAAATTTCTGAATTTCTTTCAACACTCACATCTCCCAAATCTTTCATCTCAAATTCTATTTAAAGTATTATTCTCTTCTTCCTCTGAAGTATATTCCAACTAACTTAGATCACCAATATCACTAATCTCCCCCTGGTGATTTGAATTGGATACAGATGAAGTATAAAAATATTCAGACTCCGAGAAAGTCGCATCCATGGTTACAAACGTATGTTGACTAACAGGATGATAACACTTGAATCCTTTCTGAT